TGAGTACTACTGCAAGAAATCCAGTCTGCTCAGCAAACCCAGACAACTTTGTCACTAAATGTCGTGTCTGAACTTACTGTAGGATGCCTGTTAGAGTTGTACCTCACGTGCTTATTACTCCTGAATGATTATGTAGGGGCCTATATAAGCAATGAATATTAAGATGTTAAAACTACAAAATAAACAAGAGAGTTTGGCAAAGCAGATTACAATAACAAAAAGAGAATAGATAGAAACCTTCCCCCTATCCTGGGCTCACTTACAAAACTCCAGCAGAGCAGATCTCCAGAAGAGATCCTTCCCCACTGGTAGCCAGCTCTTAAATAGGTCTAGGAGGGGTGGAGCCTGGCTCCTCCCCTTCCGGCAGCACAGGTGAGTTGCCTTCACGTGCTCCTCTGGTTGACTCATTGCTCACCTCAGGTGATCAGTCAGAGGTTCAGCCATGACTCAGCAGCTCCCATACAGGGCCTTTTAGAATTTCACCTCCACAGTTGGAAAGAAGAAAGGCGAGCTTATCCATAAGAAGCATCCCCAGGCAAGGTGCACAAAAGGCAATTGCTGAATAAAGAGCTGCTAAGGATGGAACCAGACTACTCAGGTGAACAGAGCCATGAAGAGGGCTGGGTTGGTTTCTCTTCTATTCATTAAACCCTAGATTAAGAGATGTTTGATTATACAAACAGGGAGCCACAGCTCAGCCATACAACTGGCACTGGGCACTTGGCTAAGGAGGCAGAAGATCCTGGATAGTAGCACTCTTGCAATTTACTGCACAGGAAATACCTTCTCCCAGGTTTCCTCTCATCTCGCCCATACTTCTCTGTTGTGCCTGTATTAAAAAGTAACTTATCTTCCCAATTGCAACAAACTTAGCTGTATACAAGCAGCACAAGTTTTGCAGGGTTTCGCTACATTTTTTCTGTACCTTTCTTGATAGAGAAACATAAAATCAGTTTGCATGTGTTCAACACAGCCCCCAGTTGGTACATTCTGCCTTCACCTCGCATTCGGTTGGAAACTACTATGGTCCCAGAGGCAGCACAGATGGGAATATTTCACAGGATCTCTTGTATTAACTTTCTGTTTGGGTCTTCCCTGAGCCTCGCTCTTGAGAAGCAGATCACAGCAAGTAACACAGCACAGCAGCAATATTCAAGATGTGCTACCCACAATGCTACCCACAGACGCAGTCAGGGCAGGCACTCCTTTGCCCTGCCAGCACACCGGCAGAAAACCTTGGAACCAAAGGCAAAGTCTACTTTGATGGGCCACTAAGCTTTGTGAGGCTCTGTAGACAACGTACACCAGTTCTGTGTATGCTCACAACAGCTAGCAGGGAACCAGTCAAAAGAGAAAACGCCACTTGATTTTTCACGTGGATTCTAAGAAATTGGTAGAAGTGTCAGACTGGGACTGCTCTTCCTCAACTCCACAGTGGGAGAGAGTCAGCTCTCACAGCAGGTCCAAAGCTTCAGACCGTTCACAGAGTATTTCAGATTGCAGGTAACTTCGTACTGCCTTGGCCTCAGCACTCAGTCCCTACCAGCTCGCCCCCTCTTGCACATCTCACTTAGAGTACCACGCCCAACAATAAAAAAATAACAGTAACAGAAAATAACTTTCAAAAAGGCACCAGGATATGTAATTTTTATTAAATTACACACGGAACAGGTGCCCTTTTAAAGCATGACTCTTTTTCTTACCAGAAGGCTCTTGTAGCAGGTTCCCTAGTGTCAGGTGTAGACTCAAGTGATGAAAGAAAAATACATAAATGTTGATTAAACCTTTGTTGCCATTCACACCACCAACTTTCACACCCCAGTGCCAAGCTGTTAACAAATTCCCATTCTGTTCCAGAAGACTTTTCACAGCTCCTGTCAGAAAAGGGAAGTTTCACGAGGGCAGAGCTTGCTGAAAAGTTTCCGCTCTTGCCACCATCAACAAAAAATGTTTGCAACCAGCTGTTTGTGTAATAATAACTGTGTCCTGCCCAAACTGTGGGGGAATAAAAAGCTTCTTCCAGCAAGGCATGGGGCCACCTTCATGTATATCCCCCAGTATGTATTTGTTTCAAGATATTTACGCTAAGACTCCTCAACTCCCTGAGGAGCTCAGCAGCTCTGGGCAGACCCACAGCAGAGCCTCCTCGGACACACATTCCCCTCCATGTCACGTCTTGTCCCTGGCACGCAGGCTCTGCAGTACAGTAGGCGATGTGAGATGGGGCCCTACGCACAAATCGCGCACCACCTGCTTGAGACTCAGCAGGGCTGTGCGAATGCTGTGGTGAACTGCGGCGAAGGCGGTGTGAAATTGCACAGCAGTTCTCTCTCCTGCCATGACTCCGTTTTTTCCCCCACAAGTAGCTCTTATCTGACATTGGAGACATGGTTCTTTAGAATGTACAAACACGAGAAGTGTCCTGTGAGATGAAGCGAACAGTGGCTCTCCTTTCAAGAGTCAACCAAAGAAACAGACATATAGAAATTATACAATATAGACATATAGAAATTCTCCTCACTCAATAGGTGACGACTGCTACATGCTAGATGAAGATTACTGCATAAGCAGCCTTTGCAAAACAAAGCTTTGACAGTCTCGTGTTTATTATGTCCTAGAGGACATGAGGACGCCTAGGACGATGTCTGAACAACTCAAAGCTGGTGGTGCGCGATGCACCTCCTGATGCATTTCTCATGCAGCTTCTCATGCAGATCCTGTAATGCAGCTGATCACAACGCATAGAGAAGAACTAAGTGGCTGTTTATCAGCATATATTGCTAAATGAAATCAATTCCAACTACTGGAACAGAAGCAGACTTTATCCAGAATGAACAGAGCAAATTAGCCTTATATTTTTTCCTCTTTCTCATATCAGAAAATTATTCTCCCAAATGTATCCTTTATTAAAGTGTTTAGCAACATGTTTCTGTAAACACTGCTTGACAGATAATAGCCCAACATTCTAGAAATTTTCTCACAAAACTAGCCAGTCTCAGATACCTATACCAGCAAATTGCCTCTGCCTGGACCTCATCTCTCTGCTTGCAGACAGTAGCACAGAAGCAAGCTACTTCAGAACAAGCTGCACACTAAAGTTTTGTATGTTAAAATCAGCATGTCCTGCAGTATTTGCCCAGGAAGCATAAAAGACTTCAGAGAACTGGTCCTTTGGTGTGACGATAAGCATGCTGACCAAGGAAGAGATTTTTTTCCTGGCAGATCTTTGAAGTAATTTCTGTCATTTCTAAATATTATACCACCTGATGTTTCTAGTGGAAGGCAATGAATCCCTTAAAGACAAAAACCATGAAGTCTTTTCTATTAGATTAATTGAAACAGAGGTTCAACTTTGATTTTATAGACGAGTTATTTGAGCACAACACCAAATGACAGATTACTAGCTGAACCTGCTCCCTGTCGAAGTCTGTAGTTTAAAAACGCAGTGGCCGTTTCCTCCCTGCACAGTGACTAATTTCCTTTGTGATTCAATCTGTCTCTACTCCTTGGTATTCTCACAGCAGAGAGATGCTGCAAATGCAAGGTTCCCCAAGTGAGATGCTCAGCCAGTGTGGATCACTGCACTGAGTGGCATGCCTCCTCAGAGCAGGTTTCCCGCAAAGCCCATTCCCCTTCATAAGTGCCAAGACTGAAATCTTGGCCACTGAATGCAGCGTGTTCCACATGTTAGCTCACAACATATTGAGCAACCGTGTTAACTGAGATGGATAGTGCTGTCAAACAGGAAGCTGGCTCACCAGGATGGAAACAGTGGAATACAATGAACTTTTACATTTATTGGGAAAAAAAAAAACAAAAACAAGTGTCCCTAAAACGACATGAAATGTTTCCTGTTAAAAAACAAAACAACTATCTTCTCATATAGCTTCTATTGCTGCATTGTATAAATAAATAAATACATTAGATCTGCATGAGCTCTGCCCGTAAGCAGAACCTGAGCCTCTCACAGAGCAGAGAGGCTGACAGAGGAAATGAATCATTATCACCCTGCTTGGAGAGAAGTTTGTACAAAGAGTGCTGCGCTATTAACCGCTGTCTGGAACTCCTGCATTCAGCGCTACGCTGCTCCCTCTGTTTTCGCATTCAAATTCCGAGCTATACAAAGTGACTAAAACCAACAGATAAAATCCAAATCCCCAGGCAAAGCTACTGCTAAACTACCCTAAACTGCAGGGGTCCAACTGATGACATGAGGATGAAACAAAGTCACAGGCTTCTCATCCAAAAGAGAAAACAATGAAATAATCTCCTCAGCATAAAAGTTTCTTGAAATGTGAAATTCATTTTGGAAAGATTTTTCCCGCTCCCCCACCTCCTGCCTGTCTCCCCCATTTATACAATCTTAGGTTTCGTGGTGATATTTTGGGTATAGAGATGAAAGCTTTGTTAATTTTAGATTTTGCTCCTTCCGGAGAATCATTTTCAAAAAGAAGGAATGGTAGAGATTTACAAAGCATTTGCAGCAGTACCGTAGACAAGCAGAAACAAAAATCAGTTTGCACATTTTGCAGTACAGCTATTGGCCATTAAGAGAATATGTATATATAGCCTTATTGTATTCAATACACTGTTTCAAAAATGCTGTTATATATTATAACATGCTGTTCAAAACGGCCCTGATAGAAAGAGACGTACCAGATACCATCTAGCCCTACACTTAGAGGTTCTACCCTGCTCTTCTGCGCTGATTTCCTCAAAGCAGCAACCTGCCTTGAGATGCAGAACAAATGTGTCATGAATACGCTGGCTGATCATTATCACCGTATTTCACACTTCAGCAAGATCCAGCTAATGCTTTCTAGGCAGGCTAACAAGGTAGGTGTTGTTCTACACCTAGTTTAAGATTAAGTAATCAATACAACCGATTAAAACACTCCCAAGATTTCCCACCGATTTTCTTGCTTTCTCCTTGCACTGAACAGCCTGAGGTGCACCATTCAGTCAACACAGAGAAGAGGGAAAAGAACTTTACTGAATACCTTGTGCCTGAGCCGCAGAGCTGTGGGAATACCCCAGAGCCAGGAGCGCTGTCTCCACCAGCTGGCTAAAGAGCACATCTTTGCGAACCAGAACGAACTCAGCATGCTCTTCTCGATTATCATATTCAAGAGAGGCATCCGACTGCTCCACCACACAAAAGACTGGAATCATCAAACCTAGATGGAAGAAAAGAAGTCTGTGAGAGAGGAACAAGAAAAGCGTCACACATCTCTGATAAAAGCTTTCATTTAAGACACCTCCTAGAAGGCTCATCGTAAGTGGATATCGGCCTTTCTTCCCCAGGGGACAGCTTTTGTTTTCTTTCCAAGGGAAATACTGAAGTCTCATCACTTGACTCATTTACAAACCACACTAAAAGCCCCAGAGAATACAATTTAGGAACAAAATAACAGTCAGCATGAGGACAAATGAGATTTTTCTGCTAAGACTTTTTAACACTGAAGAAATTTTCTACAGTTCCTTGAATGCCCTATTCTTGCAGGTCAGGGCTTCTCTACACTAAGAGATCTGAAAACCTGACATGTAGACACCACTGTCCAGCTTCTCTCCACACAGTGACCATCATGGAGATATTGTTTGGGGCTAGTCCCACATGCACTTCTTGGATTGGCTAGGTTAATTCACATACTTCCAGACTATGGCCATCCTACTCGTTCTGCAAAGTAAACACCCTTGCACAAATTTTGCTGAAAATGATAATTTGGTGGTGTTGAGAGCTAATGGACCAGCAGTCCCCGAGAAGCCGGCAGTGTTCTCCCTCTTAATGTATGAAGAGAGTGAGAACAGCTCTCTTAGAAAGAGAATCAAGGATGAGGGTGAATCACAGAAGTAAAAAACTCAGGGAGCGTTCTGGATTCAATTTAATTCTCTTTTACTGTAAATTTACTTTTGTGGTAATGAGATCAAGTCATCTCTGGTAATAAACTGTGAGGCGTGAACTTAAAGGGATCCAGTACTACAGACAGGCCAGAAACAAGCCAATTTGTGGAACGTGGCTTTATAGTACTGCATGTCTGTGCACGGAGGGAAAAGCATGAAAGGGAAACACAGAAAACTTACTGAGTTGGAAGATCCATTTTCATCATTTGCTATAGGCTGTGAAGTGTGTGACAAAGGAAAAAGTCACTACCCCCAGCAACATAAATTTATTAATTGGATACATATATTTTGTTAGCCCCTTGATAAGCTATGAAATATTAAGGGAAAGACAAATCCAAGCCTAAAGCCATTCTCAAAACGTGCTATGTAGAGCTTGCCTGAAAGTCTACTAGTTTACTTTTCACTCCTGTTTTTCAGAAATAAATATGACAATTTCATGTAGATAATATGAAAATAATTATTATGGAAATATTCATGGAAGAACAGATACAGATCACTGCATTCCTGGTCTGGGCACTTCATAAAGGAGGAGAAAGCCAAATGTTGGTTCTCCTTCTATACCAAGCCAATTAATTAAGATCATCTATCAGCAGTTCTAATATCTGCAAACCAGTGGTCAAATATCCCTTCAAAAGGAGCCACACTGCCCTGAAATAGATACAGTCACAGCAGTAACACCTGCTAAGGGACTAGAATCCTCCAGGCTTGAATTTGCAGAGATGAGATTTACTTAAAATGTATTTCAGATACACATTTATCATTTAGTGCCATAGCTGGCAGGGATCAGCTCCCAGTTGGACATTCTAACTGCAGACCAGCAGTAGCTACAAGCCTGGATACCCAGTTCATAGGTTTTAGCATTCTGTTTTAAATCACACCTTCAATAATGGGTAAGTAGGTTACAGCATCATATTGATGCTGCTCCCTCTTTACCACTGACTGAGATAAACCAACGCATTTTGCAAGTTCAAGTAAACAAATTTTAACACACTCACTAAGGAACATACATTGAAAAATATCTCTAGGTGCTTTTCTGAAAAGAAAAAGAGCATGGCTGATTCTGTTCCCACTGAAGTCAGTGACAAAATTGTTATTCCTTTCCAAGGTTAAAAGCTGATTTGTTTGTCCATAAATCATTTAACTAGTTAAAATGAAATTTAACCCCTGTAAGTAACAAACATGCCCTCCCACCAAACGTAGGGTCTGTCACAGCATTCCTGATGGGGCTATTAATGTCTCAACAGAAGAATCAGATAATTGGCCAAATGCTAAGGCTGCAATATCGGTTGTGTAAACCACATTTTGGCAAGACAGTGTAAGTGGGTGAATGCAAACTGATGAGAGGAATGCCGCAGCATCTTCCATCCTCCCGCAGCATGCTGTCCTCGTCACAGAACAGCCTTTCCACCTTTTCAGCACAGAAGCAGCACCTATTCTCCACGCAATTTATGCCCACAATTTACTGTCTTAGCGCAAACAGGACCTCAAATGGCAGAAATGCTGTTGTCACAACTCTACTGTATGGATGGCATGATAGACTTGCAGGAAGCTTGCCTGTGACTATTTTTCAAATGGCCCATCTGAGCCATCCACGGTCACAGGAGCCCTACTACAGAAACAGCTTTTGCAAAAATACCTCTAAGCTCAGTGGCTCAGCATAAGTGACGACAAGCTGCCATTAGTACTTTAAAAACAGAGAGCAAAGGGCAGGTTACCACATCTGCCACTGCTAACACGTTATGATCCTCTTGCTGTGGCTGGACTCTTAAAACCAATTTTGCTTTCCTAGAAATCAAGAGTCATCCGACTTCTTTCCAAGCAAACCTCACTCCGAGGAAATCTCATCTGCTCTGCCCTCTATTTTGAACTGGAAAGAGTTAAGCTATAATATCTCAAATGGATTTAGTACATTGAACTTCTCTTTTTCCTGATATTATCTGAATATAAATTAACATACCTCTGGTACATGAAAATCTGAAGGAAAACCATCTGCAGCTAAAACCAGCACAGTCTTTACACACCAGTATGCACGACGCCTTGTTCCTAGGTGCATAAACGGAACCCCCACCTCACTACAGGGCCCTTACAGAAGAGGGATGCGAGCCAGTCCATCCTCTCCATCATTCCATTGAACAGCTTACAGCAATGCTCAAGAGAGCAGAAGATGAAGCATCCAGAACGAAGCATTGCATGCAGTAAGAAAAGCCTAACTCACAAACCCTAAAAGCCCTCAGCTCTTTTCTCTAGTGTCTGTGCAGCCAGAAGCAGCATCCCTCCTCTTCATACGTACACACAAAAAAGGCTGAAATCCCTTTTGAGCAAAACTCTTGTGCATTTGCTCTCCCAGCTTTAGAGAGATGCTTTAGTGAATGATGCGGTGTAACTCATGGTGGATAACATACGGCACTGAGTTTCACACATGGAGAAAACAAGGGGTAATCTGAGGGCTGAAAAGAAAACATCTTGTTTTCTCAAAGAAGAAGCACAATATGCTGAATTGCACACAAAACATCAGTAACAATTACAAATTATCCAAAAGACTTTTTCTACTTGATACTACTCCATTGAGCTGGCTTAGAAACAGCTCTTCAGTGCTTCCATCAGTGCTTTGAACCCCATCTAGACAGCATTAAGTGTTAGAGGAACATAAAATAAGAAAGCCTTTTAAAAGAACACATGTACACAAGATTTCCCTGTATTCCATGGAAGAGAACACAGAAAGTGCTTCCAGAAGAACAGAACGGTTGGTGGTGATCGGTACCTCCGTATACCAAATATTGTTAAAACACGTCAGAATTGGGAGTTAAGCTCTGCAGTTGCTTTCATGGAGAACTTGTGATGTACAGAGAAGGCTTTGTACATTTGCTTGCATTTTAGTTGAGACTCATCTAAGCAGTAGAAAAATCAAGAAGCAATTAAATATGCAGACGATCTGTGCCCAAATGCACATTTTTCTCCTACTTGCTAGTTTTACTCCATAGTTTTATTTTCCCATAGAGTAACTTATTCTAAATATGAAGAAAAAAGAAACAGGTATGCTATCTAAACAGTGAAAACTCTGGACTCTCCACCACACAAAATATTCATTGAACAAAAGCTTGAAGCCAGTTAAAAATGTTATCAAACTGAAGTCAAGCAGCTCCCTGGAAAACACTTTGAGCTGCGATATTTGCAAGTGCAAGCTGTTAATTTCTAATAGCCAAGAAAAGGACAAGACAGGGAAGACCTTTAAGTCCTGCACTGATTTTTTTGGTTCACTTTCGAATAATATACTTTATCCAGTGCTTCAGATTGAGAATCAAAGGTGGCACTACCAGCAGTCACATTTCTACACATCACCAACTTCCACATGCCCACCCCAGGCGCAGCACCTAAACCAAAGGAGAAAAGGCACCAGAAAAGCTGCAGAGGAGGTTAAACTATTCCAGCCACCACCTCTGCTGCCCATTAAATCGGAAGCAGTGCTTGCTCATCCTAATAAGCGTAATATGAAGATCAGCCAATAAGAAGAGGCACCGATAAAATTTGTGTCTTTTTAGATTAAAATCTGTTTCCATCAGCACAAGTTGTGAGCCCCATCTAGGTGTTATTTAATTTAATCTAATTTGAACAATTTCCAAACATCAGCTTGATTAATTTCAACAGCGTGGTGTTATGGAAAGATTTACTGTACAGGGGTTGTCTAGCACAGAATTAATAAAGAAGCCAGTTCTTAGCCCTGAGTAACATGAGGGTTTAAGACTTCCCAGATTTCTAGTGGGAATACTTCACAGCACAAGCATGTTTTCTTCTGGGAGTGAAACCCACCAAAATTATTAAAAACTGAGATCAAATGGTGGTGTCAAACCCAAAGGAAATCATTCTAGAGGAGAGAGATTTTTATCAAATGAAGAAAGGGGAAAATAAAGTTTTTGTTGTTGCCGTTGCGCTTGGAGTTTTTGATTGCTGTTTGTTTTTTTAACAGAGACACACACAGAGCAATCTCTCTCCAAGACAAAGCAAATTTACATGGTTGGGAAATCAGGACATTTATTCCAAAATTCATAAACTACTGAAAACTCTTCATTACTGTGCGCAGAAAACATTTCCTTTGCAGTGACGGTAGCACAGGTCATTCTCTAACTTAACCATTCCAATAGAGAAAAAAGAAATCAAACCTAGGAAAAAGCAAGCAGCATACGCAAGTGTTTATGTACATACATACCTCCAAGTCCAGTGTTAAATAAGTAAAAATAAAAACTCTAAAGGATGCTAAGATGACTAAAAATCTCATCCA